CGCAAACGACTCGACGGCACATAACAACAACAACAACAAATCACCTGGGAGAAGAATGCTTATCTTTCTCCTGCAGGGTATTTGAGGGATCCAAACTGCACACGTTTTGGTTGGCAGTGCAACTTCTTACTGCTAACGCCCCCATAAAAATGATAAAAATATTTATCTGGACTGAAAAGATTTTAACTGTGGAACAAAACTACAAAGTGAGAGTGAGTCTGAAGTTTCTAGCTTCACTTAAGGTCCAGAAACAAAGAAAGACTAGGTAAAGTGAATCCTACTTGCTGATGGACCCAAAAGTTTTAAATCCAAGCATGAAAGTCTGTAGGGTAGTTCCCTTGTTCTCTTTTTTAAGGGAACCTTTAAAATGCCATCACAAACTGCTGTACAGAACTACACATAGTATAGTTTTATAGTTGAGAGCCTAGCAGTTAGAAAAGGGATTCATATAGGTCACCACCTACTGTGGGGCACTGCACAGGCTTAAGCAACACCATTCACATCAGCCTAGACCCTTTACACAGTTACATTTGCGGCACCTTTTCAGTGAAATCTCTCCTCCATTTTAATCAAAAGGTTCAAGCAGTATATTCTAGAAGTGGGTAGCACCAGAATGAATGTGGAAATGTATCGCACCAAAAATCTAGAGTGAGATTATACTGACCAACTTTTTGTATGTGTAAAACTTTTCTTCATTTTTTGTCATAGTAGACTCATATACTTCTTTTTGATAGGCTTATTTACTTAACAAAATTTTCTCCAGATTCATCTATGCTATATAGTGTATCATTAATTCTTTAGCACTGCCGTAGTATTCCGTTGTATTTATGTACTGTAGTTTATCTATTCATCAGTTGATGGGATCTCAGGTTGTTTTCATCTCTTAGCTATTTTAAATAATGCTGAACTTGGGTGTGTGTATATCTGTTTATCTTCCAGCTTTAATTTCTTTAGCATGTATACATCGTAGTAGGATTACTGGATCACATGACATTTCTATTTCCAACTTTCTTTTTTTCATTCTTTTTATTTTATTTTATTTTTTTAATAATTTTAATGAACATTTACAGAGAACTTGGATTTCCATTCATTCATTGCTGCACTTCTCTCCCCGCCCAGCCCTCTCCCCCCGCCCCCCAGTTCGCTCCTCTCTTTCAAAAGTAAAAGAAAGACTCCCTCCCTGGTACACAGTCCCCCCAAACCCCTCCCACTGCCCAAGTACATTCCACTATGCAACCTTAATTGTGGACTCTTGTGATAACCATAATACCTTATTATACATCGCTTTTAAATTATTCAGTCCCTTATCTGTTTCAGTGCAGTATACACAATTTATCCAGTTTTTCTCAGTCTTACCCCCACCCTGATATCAGTTCCATTTTACAGCAGTGGCACCATGCAATATTTGTCCTTTTGCGACTGAGATATTTCACTCAGCATAATGTCCTCCAGGCTCACCCATTTTGAATAATATTGAATGAGTTCCTTGTTTGTCAATGCAGCATAGTATTCCATTGTGTGAATATACCACAGGTTCTCTACCCATTCGTTTGTTGATGGGCACCTGGGTTGTTTCCAACTCCTTGCTATTGTGAACAGAGCTGCGATAAACATGGGTGTGCATATATCTGCTTGGATGTCAGTTATGGTCTCTTTGGGATATATTCCCAGTAGTGGAATTGCTGGGTCAAATGGTATCTCTATTTGCAACTTTTTGAGAAAGTGCCATACCGCCTTCCACAGTGGTTGCACCATTTTACATTCCCACCAACAGTGAATAAGGGTTCCAGTTTCTCCACAACCTCGCCAGCATTTGTTGCTTGCTGTTCTGTTAAATTTTGCTATTCTGACTAGGGTGAGATGATATCTCATAGTTGTTTTGATTTGCATCTCTCTTAGAGCTAGGGATTTTGAACATTTCTTCATGTGCTTGTTGGCCATCTGAATGTCTTCTTTGGTGACAATGGTGTCTGTTCATATCCTGTGCCCATTTTTCAATTGGATTATTTACCTTTATCTTTTTGTGGTGCTCAAATATTTTATAAATTCTAGATATAAGTCCCTTATCTGACATGTCATTACCAAACACTTTTTCCCAGTCTGTGGCTTCCCTTTTTACCCTGTTGGAGAAGTTTTTGGATGTGCATAGGGATTTGATTCTGAGAAGGTCCCATTCATCTATTTTCTCTTCTCCTGGTTGTAGATTATTTCCAACTTTTTAAAGAGATACTTGTTTTCCACAGTGGTTGCACCATTTTACATTCGTACCGGTAAAATCCCTTGAATATACAATATGTATTTTGGTGGGGGGGAAAAATCTAGACTACTTCCATATCTATTGTATATGTTGTTGTTGTACACTGTAGAGTCATAGCTGAGTTTCTAGTGGGCCATAAATCACAGCGGAGGAGACTGCCCATCTTTCTCCTGTGGAGCAGATGGTAGATTCTAACTATATACTTTTGTGTTGGAAGCAAGATTGTTTACCACTAATCCATCAGAGCTCCTTGTTGTTTGTGTAGTGGAATGTGTGTTTATCCTCAGGAGTCTGGCTGCGGTAATGGGTTTAAGCACAGTAGTGAATGTGGGGCTATCCAGGATTACGTCGGGTTTCTTCCTGTTGTACACAGGGTTACTGAGTTAGAGCTGACTGGATAGCACCTAACAGGAACAAAGAATCTGAAAGAATAACCTGCCAGTTGTTTGGCTGGAGGTTGGGCCACCAGGATGAGTTCTGTTTCACATTCTAAGGGTGCCCAGGGGTGCAGTAGTCTCTGGGATCCACGAGTCTGTTCCACGTTTCACCTTGCTCTCTCCAGATCTTTTTCTGTGATCCCTTGAGAGTTGTTTAACAGTGGGTGTCAGGTACCATCTAGTTCTTCTGGTCCTTGGATAATGGAGGTTGAGGATTCAAGCACAGATACATTCATAAAATTTAACCTATTTAATCTTGACTGTAGCTGTAAGCCTTTGAGTTTATGGTTAGTATTCTTTTATTTCCATTTTGCAATGGAATCTAAATATGATTATTGAGATTAAATCCAAATATGATTTAGAGATGCAATAATATGTTTGAGATAGTCTTCATTGGTCAGCTTATCTAAGCAGAATGTTTTGGCCTTTTTTCAGTTCACTGCAAGTGTCAGTTATTCATAGATATGGATTAGGAGATACGCATGAAATATTTTACAGGAAGATTTAAGCACATGGTATCTTAAAGGGTATTTTTATCAGTTTTGAATGTATTCCTCAGAAAATGATAACTGAAATGGTGTTTAGATAGTCTAATCTACAAAAGCCTGTGTTACTGTGTTATTTTATAGTTTAGGAGCCATGCGTTTAGAAATTAGAAATGTGTAGATAGAAGAAATGTACTTGTATAAGGTCAATCTTGGCAAAACTTTGAAACCTCCAAAGTTTGACTCTGTCTTCCACCCCAACATCCATCCTGGTCTCTCTCTCTCTCTTTCTCTCCTTTTGCTTTAAATAATCATTAGTACTATAACATTATATTTGGACAGATAATAAGAATTTGAAGAAAAACACTAACTTTTAGGTGCAATTAACTTCTTTCTCCCCAATTTTCCCCTCTACTGTTTTGCTTTAGCCACTCTGATAGTGACCGGAAATTGGGTCAATGTAATTTGCCCCGCACTTTCTTTGACTTGTTGTTGAATATCCATCAATTTCAGTAGTGCCAGGTGTTAACCAACATTACCACTCTTTCTCCATTTTAAACTTTTATAACTCTTGAGTATCATAGCAAATTTTTGCTTGTTGTACTTAGCTTTCTTGTATCTTATATCTGTACTTTTGCACATGGAAATCTTTTTTCTTCAGTGCAGCTTGGCTTCTGCACTATGCAGTTGATTTCTTTACTCATAACTCCTATTTTCAACTTTTAAAGTGATTTTTTAAAAAAGAATTTAATCTCTTGTTTTAGAACTTAAATTAAAATTTTACTCTAAAAGGATATTTTCAACAGTGTAGGTAGAAATCACATAATCTATTTCCAAATTTTATTTGCCATACCCTTTGACTAGATCACAGTATTATGATATTTTCCGTGTTAAACTGCATTAATGCCTCATTCGGCATGCCCTTCAGTTTAGCACTCCCTGTAGATCTCCTGCGATTTCTAAGAAGTACTCTGTGTCTGTACTTTGTTAATTGATCTATACCCGTTTCCCATTTCATCCTTTGTTCCTTTTGAATTCTATTTTTATGAACAATCACTATGACTGTTTATATGACTGAGAGCAACAACTAATCAAGATTGTGTGTTTCAAAATGCTACTAATTTATCTAATTAAATACTGTTTAAAATTCCAATATGTTTTAATGTTTGTGGCAATTTCCATTTTCCTTATTTAGGTTCGGAATGTTCTTGATGATGCAGTGGACTTACTGGAATTCCGTGACAGAGTCATTAAAGCATCTTTGAACTATGCACATTTGGTTGTCTCAACGTCTCGTCAGTGTTATGTGTTCTCGTAAGCATCTTGCATTTCTTAAAAATAGAATTTCATCTGGATGAGGAATTTCTTTACAAGTTTTCATTTCAGCATAGGATGTTTTAAACTTAACTGCTCAAAGTCTCACTATCCTGAATTTACCCCAAACCAAAAAATCATTAAAAAGTGAGCTCTAAACAGTGAACATATATCTAATAAAGATTACCCTTTGAAAGTTAATTCATTGATACTAACTTTCTATATAGGAAAGACCTTCTCTATGTTAGCATTTACTCTTACTTTGTACACACTGCAGAATTTAGCACAACTTTATTTCAAAACCCAAAATAGATTGTTGTTATATACTCTTGAGACAGAACCAACTCATAGCTGATCCTCCAGCAGGTTTTCAAGGGCAATAAATTGCACGGGAGGATGTTGCCCATCTTCTCTCACAGAGCAGCTGGTGAATTTGATTCTCATGCCTTTGGGATGGCAGCATAGCTCCCACTAGGTAACCAGAGGCAGCATAGCTAATAAGTGACAGGAAAGGGAACAGCTCATCTTCTGTGAGAGAGCAGTCTATTAGCAGCTTGACAACAAGCCAGAGTAACTGAAAGATATTCAGTAAGGAAACAAGGGCTTATTTTAAGCTTAACATCGGAACTCAGAGTGGTCATATATGTTTACATTAATAGCCCAGATAGGTCCACAAATGATAACAGAAAATATATTTTACATACTTTATATTGTGGTGGTGGTGTTATGTACTGTCAAATCAACTTTGACTCATAGTAACACTATGAACAGTATCTCTGAACTTTTCCCTGTCCTAAGCAAACCTCAGGATACCTCAGCAAACCTCCAACACACCTGACCCCACTGCCACAGTCAATCCATCTTGTTGGAGGTCTTCCTCTCTTAGAAGAAGGAACAGAATCAATACATTCAAGGAAGTTGCATCAAAAACTGTTTAAACACATGCTTGATATTTTAAGATTGCTGATATGTTTAATAACTGGTTTTCAGGGGAAAAGCCTTGATTTCAGTGCTTGCTTATTGTTATGAGTTCAAGCTACCAATCAATGTGTTGTAAACTGTTATACAGTATTTCTATCATACAGATACAATGTTGTTGTTGTTGTACATTGTGGTGTTGCCTGTGATTCATAGTGACCCTATGTACAACAGCCCTAAACCTTGCTCTATCCTGTGCCAATCTTACTGTCTCTGACAGTATACCCTCAATACCCCAGTCACTCGATCAGTCCCATCTCATCAAGGGCCTTCTTCTCTTGCGCTGTCCCTCCACCCTCCCAAGCATGACGTCCCTCTTAAAGGACTGATCACACCTTGCAACATTTCCAAAGTATGTCAGACGAAGCCTCAGAATCCTTGCCTCCAAGAGGCAGTCTGGTTTCACCCTCTCTCAGATGAACTTGTTCATTCCCTTAGCAGTCCATTGTATATTCAGTACTCTTCTCCAGCACCACAGCTCAAAGGCAGCAACTCTCCTTCTATGTCCAGCTCTCTGAAGCATAGCAAGTGATTGCAAAGACCATGGCCTGTATGTATCAGGTGCACCTTAGTCTCCAGACTGACATCATATATAATCCCAAATGCATGGTAGTAGATTATAATGAAGTAATTTGGAAGTTATTACTAGGGAGGATAGAAGGAGAATTGATGCCTTTGAGCTATGGTGCTGGAGAAAAGTACCATGGACTGCTAAGAAAACAGATTCATCCTAGAGAGGGTTAAATCAGGCTGCTTCTTGGAGGCAAGGATTCTGGGGCTTTGTCTGACATACTTTGGACATGTTGTAAGGAGGGACTGGTCCTTGGAGAACGGACATCATGCTTGGGGGGGTG